AGGGAAGTTTTTAATGTTTGATGTTTTATCATGTTTTTAGTATTCTGTTGGGAGCCACCCAGAGTGGCTGGGGCAACTCAGTCAGATGAGTGGCATACAAATAATAAGATTTGTTATTACTAAATTATTATAAAGGCACATTAAGTCCATCATCCTGCTCTCACAGTGGTTAACTAGAGGCCTGTAGGAAGCCTCCAAGCAGGACCTGAGCAAAGGAACACTCTCCCTCTTCCAGTGGTTTCCAGCAACTGGTACAGTTATACCTTGTGTTGCGTTCTGCTCATTACAGACTTTCAGCTTATGAACGCGGCAAACCCAGAAGTGTTTACTTCGGTGTTCGCCACATGTGCATGCGCAAAAGCAATCTGCATGCTTTACGCATGCGCAGAAGTGAGCTGCATGCTTCACGCCCACGCAGAAGCGCTCGATCATGCCACGCACATGCGCAGAAGAGGTGCTCTAGTTGCGGACTTTTTGGGGTGCAAGCGGCACCCCAAAATGGATTAAGTCCGCAACTAGAGCTACCACTGTATTCAGAAGCATTGCTGCCTCTGTCAAAGCAGTGCAAAGCCATCTCCTCCATGAATCTGTCTAATCCTAAGCCATCTAAATTGGTGGCCATCTTTGCCTTGTGTGGTAAGGAGCTGTGGTTGAACAATATCCGGAGAGCATCAGGTTGCACAAGGTTGTCCTTGAAGCACATGGAACTAACCAGGTTAAGTCACTGAAACCTGTGCTGGTGAAACAAACTGGTGATGTCGGAAGCAACAGAACCTTCCCTGATTTAGACGCCAGAGCCCTGCGGAATACCATATGCCAAAGCATCCCCACATTTCCCGTATTTGATTACAGGAAGCAATTTCCTCCAATGTGTGATTTATCTGTAACTTGGTGTGTCTGCAGTTTGTGTTCCTCTGCAGTGGAGAAAGGGCTTGGGGGCAGGGGGCAGGCTCAAGCAATCTGCTCCGTAAGCAACCCTTTTGCAATGCACCTGTTCTTTTGCACCTGCGGCTTGGGTTCCGCAGCTTGGCTGCAGGGCAAGATAGGGGTGCAGGGATAAGATGTGCCACACGCTAAGATGCGAAACCCAAAAATAAGCACAGATGGATTAGACAGCTGTCAATGGAAACATTTCAACAGGAGGGGAGCAAGGACCGCACCAGAGCTCAGCAACACTGATCCTGTTCTGGATTAGGGTTCCAAGGACTGAAAAGCCTCCTTGCCTCTTTTGGAATAGTGACATCATCCCCTTTCTCAACCACTAATGGGGAAGAGTCATGCTTTCCAAGTAGCAGAGGCAATATTAGCATCATGCTTCTCTGAACTTTGCATTGTGATTCAGGAAACACTTGAATGGAAAACCTTTAGCTGTCTGGGCAGCTACCCTCATGTGGTGAGCTAGTAGAACGACAACTTGAAACAGCAAGCAGGAAAATAAAGCTTTCTCAGATTCTGGACTGCCATTCCCTCCAGACTGACATTTGGGCTTTCCAGGACATGAAAGACTATCGGAGGCTTCCTGTTTCACTTAACCTGAAGAGGTGGTCTTTTTGCCTTTGGTGCAGTCACTGCCACTTACTTAAAGCTCAGCCCTGACATACAGACCTGTATAAAGGAGGCTGCGGAAGAGACTTATCACAATTGCCCTCCCTGTCATTAAACATTTGGTGTTGTCAGCCCCCTCAGGAGAAAAGATGTGGGAGCCAGCTGCATAACACCCGCCCCTCCTCTCCCAACTGTATTTAAGGCAGGCTCCTTGGAGTAAAGCAAGACCAGTATCAGAAACTTTATTGTTGGTTAACTCTGGTTTTGCTTTGAATTGATGTACTTCAGTCTAGAATAGATTGTTTTTGTTTTGCGATATTGAATTTATTCTGTGTTTTCTAAACTGGTGTTTTTGTCATTTTTGAATTTACTGGCATGCTCTGCATTTTGTATATTTGTATTTCCAATGCCCTGTGTTTTGATGTTTTGAATGTTTGCTGTAAGCCGCCTGGCGCAGAGTTCAGTGTGGAAGTACACTCAATCAGGGGACACGGGTGGCACTGTGGGTTAAACCACAGAGCCTAGGGCTTGCCGATCAGAAGGTTGGCGGTTCGAATCCCCGCAACGGGGTGAGCTCCCGTTGCTCGGTCCCTGCTCCTGCCAACCTAGCAGTTCAAAAGTGCGTCAAAGTGCAAGTAGATAAATAGGTACTGCTCCGGCGGGAAGGTAAACGGTGTTTCCGTGCACTGCTCTGGTTCGCCAGAAGCGGCTTAGTCATGCTGGCCACATGACCCGGAAGCTGTACGCCGGCGCCCTCGGCCAATAAAGCGAGATGAGCGCCGCAACCCCAGAGTCGGTCACGACTGGACCCAATGGTCAGGGGTCCCTTTACCTTTTTACACTCAATCAACCAAACTCAGTTATTTGCTATCTGGGGAAATGGCCATGGAAGGCTGAGAGCAGGGCGCTGGTGTCTATGTGAATGCACCTACAAGCATGTACATAAGGCTCAGTTTGCACCAGGACAAACTTTTGAAGATCTCAGGCTGAAAAGGTTCACAATGTGCATGTGCACACTCTAGCAGAATGTTTCCAAAGGCACCACCAGGAAAGGCAAATAAACAGTGGCAATGGGTAGCATCCAACTACTCAGAGTAGACCCACTGAAATGAAATTAACAGACGTAAGTAAAGGGGCAGGCTGTAGCTTGGTGGCAGAGTATCTGCTTTGCATCCAGAAGGTACCTGCTTTGATCTATAGCATATCCTAGTAGGACTAGAACAGACCCTTGTCTAAAACTCTAAGCATAGGGGCAGCATAGACAATATTGAGCTAGATGAGCCAATGAATCATGCCCACTAATTTCAGTAGGTTTACTTGGAGTAAGACTAACGTTGGATACAACTCAGTACTTTGACCAGGTGTCAGAAAGCAGGAGTAGCTGAAACAATTGCAAATATGAAAACACAAAACAGCCTCTTCTGTCTTCTCCCTGAAGGGCTTCATGCTTCACTCACATTAGGAAAACAGGACTGTTTCCTGTTATCTTCCACCACGTTCCTCCAGCAGCACTGGGGCATTTGAAACGCTTGGCATGTTCTTCACATTCCAACCAACAAAGCATTCTTCGGCAATGTCGGAAAGAGGGAAGGCTGCAGTCATAGGCGCCGACTCCATGGGGCTTGAGGGGGCCCGAGCCCCCTCAAAAATTCGTTTGGGGGGGCTCCGCCCCCCCAATAATCTCCGGCGCCCCTCCAGCAGAGCGCCATCGCCGCCCCTCCCCCAGCCCAAAATGCACAGGGAGGGGCGGGCTGCATGCCTCCTGCCCTCCCTCCCGAGCAAAAGCTCCACCCAATTTCCTTTGGAGCTGATTAATAGGCGCAGCACGCTCTCCCCTATTCGCTCACGAGGAGGCGGCGCCACTTTATTTCATATTCATGAGCTTATTTATTATTCATGAGCTTTCCCGGCCCCCCCCCCAATATTTTTTATAAGTCCGCGTCCCTGGCTGCAGTCGCATCAGGTTCCACCCATGGGATGGAGCTGTCAGCGACTACGGCAAGAGAATTTCTCCAGTTCCGTTCCTGTATCACTCCTTTTGTTTGTTCCCCATCTGATGTCCCGCTCTTCCTGGATTCCAGTTTGACTAGAGCAGTTTCTAAAATGGATTCTCAAATTCAAGCATGCACCCTTTGCTGCAGTTTCATCATTCCCTTTCATCTGCATCTGTCTTGAGTCCAGAGCAGACATCCTGGAGGGGCTGGTTGGGAGTTGCAAGTGCTCAGGTCCAGCCCTCCAATTCTAGTTTGCTTGCCCACTCCGCTCCTATATACAGTGGTGCCCCGCAAGACGAATGCCTCGCAAGATGAAAAACCCGCTAGACGAAAGGGTTTTCCGTTTTTCGATGCGCTTCACAAGACGATTTTCCCTATGGGCTTGCTTTGCAAGACGGAAACGTCTTGCGATTTTTTAAGCTTCCCCTCCCTTTTTCTAAGCCGCTAAGCCTTTAATAGCCGCTAATCCGCTAATAGCCTTTTAGCCGCTAATCCGCTAAACCGCTAATAGGGTTGCTTCGCAAGACGAAAAAACCGCTAGACGAAGAGACTCGCGGAACGGATTATTTTCGTCTTGCAAGGCACCACTGTAATGGGGCACAAGGGGGCATGTTACTTGCTGGATCAATGTCTTAGCTTGCTTAGCCATGCACAGCACCTATGGTGCCTTTGAACCTTATTTTACCTATGCACCATACCGATTTGAGCATTAAAGATTTTGGAAGAAAATGAGTTTGAATTCCTTTTCCTCCAGCGTGAGCTAATACAGCACCATTGCAACCTTCCTGATTTTTCAGTGTACATGTGCACATCAGTAAACACATGAGAACTGATAAAACACTGTAGAGAGGGGGCGAAAAATCTTGCTGCGATTGTATGATGACTGCAACATTATTTGTGTGTGTGTGTTACTGGCCCACAAATATGGTCCTGTGTGTTGGCTGAAAAATATCTCCCCCTGAAAAACTTGGTACAATACGTGTGAAGCTTTGCCCCAATGTTGCTTAATCAATATGAAAAAAAGGACAGGCGGGAGTCCCAAATTTGAACAAATAAATAAAAGAAATATTAACAATATAATCCTAGGCAATTATCCTAGGCACCCTTAGAAGTGGGGAATTGGGGTGTTTGTAACTACTGTTTTTCAGGGTGGCAGGACAGAGGGCAGCTAATAACAATGGATGACATATTCCAGGAGCGAGGACCTGAGGGCTGCATTCAACTCTGGCAAATGTCTGGGGGACACATGAGAATGGTAGGCAGGGCCAGATGCAAAAATGGGTGGAGAAATGTACAGTATTTTTCTGGGTATAAGACTAGGGTTTTTTCCTAAAAGATAATGTCAAAAATTCGGGGGTGTCTTATACACAGATACATTTCCCCATTTTCATAAATCTGAGTCCCCCAAAATAGGGAGAGTCTTATACATGGGGCATCTTATAGACGGAAAAATATGGTAACTTTGTTCAGTAGGCACATGAACTTTGTTCCACACATGCTCATCCTGCTCCGTCTGCCCTCCATCCAGACAAGCAAGAGGCATGATCAAAGTTCATGGACACATTCCAGCCAGGCAAAAGCACTCAAGGAGGGTGCAAAATTGTTGAGTCTTCGGGACCAGAGACGCCTAGCTAGCACATTTGCAAAGATAAGCAGTGTCTGGTATGGTTTCAAATTGGATAGAGGATTGTTGAGATTCCTGCATTGCAGGGGGTTGGACCAGATAAGCCTTGGGATCCCCTCCAACTCTATGATTCTATGACTCCTGGAGGGCTGCATTCAGTTCCTGCGCCTGAGGTTCCCCTACCGCAGGCATATTTGGAAAACTCCCTGCTCCATGAGACATCACAGAACAAGTGAGCAACAGGAATTCCGTGGCAGGGCCTCACTATCTCTACCTGCACCCCATCCACTGCATTAACTGATGACCAATGATAAGATTTTCTGTATAGAGCAGGATGCTTTATAAATGGCTTTCTAGCACCAGCTAGTGGCAACATTAAGCGAAGACCAGTAAAATAATGATAATATTAATGAAGCAGCAGCAGCATCCTGGCTCCCACTCAATGAAGAACTCAAACTCAGGTTGCAGTTTCTACCCAACAAAAACAAAACAGAGGAACCAAAATTAGAACCGTTTAAAACATTTTAGCCAGTTGCCCCAACCCAAGAGTGCATGCATGAGAAAGTAATGTGGGGGATTTCTAGATCTGAATAACGAATGACCTGAAGAATGACTTCTTCCTAAGGTTTAGTTGTTATCTCCTTTCCTAGTTTGAACTCACTGGTTTGGGTCCTACCCTCTGGAGCAGCAGAAAACAAGCTTGTTCTGTCTTCCATGTGGCAGCCCTTTGGAAACTTGATTTTGGCTCTCATATCACCTTCTCAGTCTTCTCTTCTCCCTGTGATGTGATCCGCACTGCAAAGCCCTTGGGTGCAGGGTCAGTTTGGTGCCACTGCCAGTGGAGGAATGGCTGCAGCTTAGGGTGCATTGCCTAGGGCAGGAGCAGTCAACCAGTGGCTTTGCATATGTTCCTGGACGCCAGATCCCATCATCCCTGATGACTGGCCACACTGGCTGGCGCCAACGGGAGCTTTTCCTTTTTCAAAGTTACATTGCTATCCTGCCTTCCTTCCGAAGAGCTTAAAGTGCTGTCCATGGTTCTTTCCCCTCCCCATTTAGCCTCACAACAACCCTGTGAGGTAGGTTAGGTTGAGAGGCAGTGGCTGGCCAAAGGTCACCTAGCAAGCTTCATGGATGAGTGGAGGATTTGAACCCTGGCCTCCCAGCGTAACCGGTATTGTAAGCACCACAGCAACAACCTGAGGGCTTCTCTCATCCTCAGTGAGGGTGAACTTCTTCTGCAGTCACTAGAAACCCACGTAGCCTCTAGTCCTCATTGAGGACTGGCTGCTTGCTCCCCACATCCCTGGAAGTCGCATAGTGGGTGCTGTGCTCCACGTAGTCTCTAGTCCTCATTGAGGATGGGCTGCTTGCTCCCCACATCCCCGCCAAGTTGTCAATAAGGGTAAGATGCCTATCCACTCACTGAAGACCATAAGCCCCACATAGCGAGTGCTGTGCTTTGTCCCTGTAACCCCACAGCCTCCTAGTTCTCAATGGCGACGAACTGCCTGTCTCCCACATCCCTCTAGTCCTCAGTGAGGGCGAGCTTCAGGTCTGCTTACTGAGAACTGCAAGTCGCATAGCGGGTGCTGTGCTCTACGTCAGTGTTTCCCAACCACTGTTCCGCGGCACACTAGTGTGCCGCGAGATGTTGCCTGGTGTGCCGTGGGGAAAATTCGAAAGATTTTTTTTTTTTTGTAAAAGTCAAATTAGGTCCTAATCTATCCCTCGAGCGCCTCTTGTCCGTTATTGTGACGCATGAAGCGTGTTCCCGTCCACTCCCCGCCCTCCCTTGCCTCTCTCTCTCTCTCTGTGGCGCTCTCCGCCGCTTCCTGCTGGGCATGCGCAGCTCGCCTCGCGCTTGCATTCCGGCCCCTCCTTCCCCCGACTACCCCGCCGCTCCGTTCCTTTCTCTTTCTCGCGTGTCAGAGAGCGGCGGCGCGAGCGCGGCGGTTCCCTCAGGGCTGACGGAGGGCTCGAGGAGGAGGAGGCAGGACGTGGAGGCGGAGAAAGCGGCGGCGGCCACCCCCCACCTCCGGCTCGAGGCCCGCGTAGAAAGCTGAGGGGGAGAGATAGATAGAGGTGGGCGGCGGCGGCGGCGACGACCACGACCAACCGCCACAGTAGTTGTAGCGGTGGCGACCAGGGACTCCCGCTCTCTCTCCGTCGTGTCTCTCTCTCTCTCTCTCCCGGGCCCGTCCGTTGAGTCTCCCGCGCGCCTCGGCTACAAGATGAGCATCGAGATCCCGCCGGGTCTGACTGAGCTGCTGCAGGGCTACACGGTGGAGGTGCTGCGGCACCGGCCGCTGGACCTGCTGGCCTTCGCCGCCGAGTACTTCGCCAAGCCGCGCTCTCCTTCCTGCCTCGCTTTGCTGCCTCCTCCCCCCCACCCCCAAAGCTTGGAGGTTCCCCGGCGCCGACCCGCAGGTTTGACCCCCTTCTCACACCTGTTCGCGCTCCTTGCACGGAATGGGGCGGATGGGGAGGAACGGGGCTCGCCGCTGCCTCCGCTCGCCCTCCCCCCCTCCGCCGGCGGTCCCGCGATTCTTGGCTTTTTGGCGGTTGGCACAGAAGGAAGGCAAGGGGGAGGGGAAAAAATTGAATCTTACACTTTCGTGCGTCCCTCCCGGCGTGACGCTGCGCGCTGACGTCACGGGGCTGTAATGGTGGTGTGCCTCGAGATTTTTTTCATGAAACAAGTGTGCCTTTGCCCAAAAAAGGTTGGGAAACACTGCTCTACGTTGCCTCTAGTCCTCATTGAGGACGGGCTGCTTGCTCCCCACATCCCTGCCAAGTTGTCAATAAGGGGGAGATCTGCCTATCCACTCACTCAGGGCCGGATTTAGGTTTGATGAGGCCCTAAGCTACTGAAGGTAATGGGGCCCCTTTATAGGTCCAGCTGTCCTTTGTCAACAACAAATTGTCACTGTTTATTGTGTTGAATATATGCTATTTGGTAATTTATGGACCTAACAGGTATCTAAAGCCATTTGCACACAACGAAATATGTATTTTATCAAAGTAATTGTTGAACTGAAATACAATTAAGAAGTATATTAATAGTGAAATTTTGGAGGCGCCCCCAAGAGACTGGGGCCCTAAGCTATAGCTTGTTTAGCTTATACGTAAATCCGGCACTGCGTGACTCACTGAAGACTATTAGCCTCGCATAGAGCAGATACTGCTGTGTTTTGTCCCTATAACCCCACAAGCCCCCTAGTCCTCCGTGACGGCAACCTTCCTGTCTCCCCCACACCCCTCTAGTCCTCAACGAGGGCCGCGGGTTGCATGCGCTACAACCCCATGGGGCCGCTAGTCCTCAGTGTGGACAGGCTGCTTGTCGGAGTCCCCTCGGAGCGAGGGCGCCTGAGCCCCACACATCGCTCCAGCCGCCGGGCTGCCGGCTGCGCTCCCACCCTAGAAGCCGCCCCCCCTCCAATCGCCATCCCTCTAGACCTCAGTGAGGACAAGCTTCTCACCCGAGAGCCAGGAAGGCCGTTCCCCGCGCGAGCTCTTAGTCCCTCAGGAGCCGCCGGCCGTTGAGTGGTCGCCTCGCGCGCCCTCCTCCCTCCCTCGCACGAGGCCCCCCCCCCGTCCCCTCCCCTCCCTCTCCCCCCTCCCCTCCCGGCCTCTCCGCCGCCGCCGTCACTTCCGAGGCCGGAGACAAAATGGCGTCCGGAGGGGGCCGAGGGGCCCTGTGGGGCCTTTCGAGCTGAGCCGGGGGTCGGCTCTCGAGGAAGGAGGAGGAGGAGGCCGCGGCCACGGCGGCGGGCAGCGCAGGTAAAGGCCGGCGGGGGGCGAGGGCAGGGTGAAGGCGGCAGCCACTTGCCCGCCGCTTCTTCCCTTCTCAGCGAAGGGGGCTCGGCGGGGTGGGGAAGGGGAATTCGCCCTAAGGGTTGTTAGGGGGTTTTTTTGGGGGGGGAACCACACACACACACACACACACGCTCCACTTCTCGCCAGCCGCACCCTCTTCCCCCAAAGGAAGCAGAGTAGACATAGGATGGGGATGGGACGCGGTGTAGAGGTGGGAGGTGGAATTGGGGTGAGGTTATCCTAATTGGGGGAGGCACCCCCCCGCATGACCCAAAGTGGACTGGGGGGAGGGAGACGTGGATTTGGGGGGGCGTGGAGGTGAGGTGTGTATTGATGGGGAGGGGTGGGGTGGGGTGGGGGTGGGGATTCTCGTTGCAGGGGTTGCCCCATTGGGAGTAAAACTGGGAGGGGGACACACAAACACACCGCTTCCGGGAAACCTCCCACCCCGCTTTAGCAAAAATGGAGGGGTGCAAGGGATTTGGGGTGGGGGTAGAGTAAGGATGAGATGTTGATTCAAGGGTGTTGTTTTTTCATATTGCAGGGATTTTTGTGGGGGGGACCCCCCAAGCCCCCAGAGGGATGGGGCTTTTTCTTGAACAGTGTTAGGCCTGCTTTGATGGGTTGGTGAAATAGGGCTAAAGTGTTCGTGTTTGTGTGTATGTTGTACTTTATCTCAGTTGAGGAATTAGGTCTGTAAGGGGGACCCCAGACCCCACCCCACACGTGTTGAAGTGTATAAGTAGAGTTCCATGTTCATGTGCATGTGTTGTGTTTCACATAGGAGATAGGTGTGGGCCGGGAAAGGGGTCTTCTCCCTCCCTGCCTCCATGTCCGAATCGTGATGGAATGATGGGATACGTACATGAATGAGTGTGTTGGTGAATATTTTGCTCCCAGTTAGAGGATGGGTGGGAGGACACCTCCGGAAAGGATTCCTGCCCCCTGCTAAAAGTGGAGGTGCAAAAATGGATAGTAAAGTTCTAATGGGAAGGAGCAGGGTTCTGGAAGTGGGACTCCATCCCATTCTCACAACTAAGTTTGAAGTATGGAGTTGAGTGGTTCTGAAAAGGACCCCCCAACACACACACCCAAAGCTTGGTTTTAGGAGGTTGCATAAAAGTGTGTGCGTCTAATTGCTCCTTAGACAGGAGTTTGACTGAAGGAGGGATCCCCCGTCCTCACAGAAGTTAGATTCTGGAATGGGGGGTGAGACTTTAGCATGAATGGGAGTTGTGCTGAAAGCTAGGATGAAAAGATGTATCAGTCCTTCCCATTGCATCCCAAAGTCAGAGTGAGTGCCTGGAAATAAAGCCACAAGGAATCTAGGGGTCCTGCTGTTGTACTCTGAATTTTGAGTCACTTGTATAGTGTCCGTAGAAGGAGAAGAGCCAGGAGATGTAATTGTAACAGTAATGATGATAAGGAAAAAGGATGAAAATGAATATCTTTGAGGCTTATATTCTCTCCTTCAGGCAGAGTTTCCTCATTCTTCCTTATCTCCACCCTGCTTCCACCCCCCACCCGCAAAGCTGGCTGCTCCCGCTCACACAACATGCTACCTCCATAGAGCTAAAGGGAAATGTGTCTGAATGCTGTTGGCTTCCAAAATTTGAAGCCAATGCCCCTTAATTGAAACTAAGGGAAAGGACTAATTGGGGAAGTTGTTGTGGTTTTATGTTAGAAGAGGAGGGTCTGTGGTGAGTGATGGGGTAGCTGGAGTACAGGGCATGTTTAGCCAGAATATTTGCATTTTTTACACATGATGTTGATGGTGCTTGTAAAGTGCTCTTTCACTTAATTTTAGAGCATCAGTGAATCAAATGTGCATTTTAGCCAATGAGAGCATTGAAACTGATACATTATTTCCCACCCCTTTCAAATGAGATTTGCAAATACACTAAACAAAGCAACAGACTAAAATAGATAGTAAAAACAGTCATAAAGGCAAGGAGAATAAAAATACAAGATAAAATCTTAAAAAAAGAATGAATAGCAGTGCCTAATAACACAACTTCACTTCTTAACACAAGAGAAGTGCATTCAGGGATATGTGTGTGTTGTAATAGCCTTTTCGTTTCAGCTTCCCATCCTCTGAAACGAAGCAGAAGTTGGCCTGCTGTTATCACCTTATCTGCTTTGTTTACACACCCAAAGTTAGCTAATGTGAGATAGTCCTTTCAACCATTCTCTGGTATTCAGAATCAAGATGCATAAAAATTCATCCAACCTGTTTGGTGCATCTCTGATACTCCTTGAGTTTGTGAAGTCAAGGGGTGGTAATTATTACTTAACACAGAATATAGGAGTAATATCTTGTTTTATTGTATCAGTATTATACTGCAAATGCTAGGCCATACTATGCACTAGCCTCCTGTGGGGCATTAGTCTCTTGTGGGGAAACCACCTCCCTTCAATAGCACATTGTGGTACTGGACAACCATAGTGGTTGATGGGAAAGAATGTGGCATTCTTGAGATGTCACCCCTAAAGATGGTACCTGCAGGATAAAGGACTAAACATGCAGAAGACAGAATCAGGATTCAATGTAGCCTTATCAGATTTGATAACTGGGTCAAAACTAATAAAATGAGTTTCAGTAGGGACAAATGTCAGGTTTTGCACTTAGACAGGAAGAACCAGATGCACAGATATAAGATGGAGTACACTTGCATTGCCAGTAGTACATATGAAAAGGAACATGGGGTCTTAGTAGACCACAAGCTTAACATGAGCCAACAGTGTGATGCTGCAGTGGTAGGGAAAAGCCATTGCTATTCTAGGCCGCATCAGCAGAACTATAGTATCCAGGTCAAGGGAAGTCATAGTCCCGCTCTATTCTGCCTTGGTCAGACCATACCCTTAGTACTGTGTCCAGTTCTGGGCACCACAATTTAAGAAGGATATTGACAAGCTGGAACGTGTGCAGAGGAGGGCAACGAAGATGATCAAGGGTCTGGAACCCAAGCCTTAGGAGGAATGGTTGAGGGAGTTGTGTGTGTTTAGCCTGGAAAAGAGGAGACTGAGAGGAGATATGATAGCTATCTTCAGTTATATCAAGGGTTGTCACATGGTGACTAGAAAGAAGATTCCAACTAAACACCATGAAGACCTTTCTGACAGTGAAAGCTGTTTGGCAGTGGAACAGACTCCCTTGGGAGGTTGTGGACTCTCCTTCCTTAGAGGTTTTTAACAGAGGATGCTTTAGTGCTTTAGTTGAGATTCCTGCACTGCAGGGGGTTGGACTAGATAATCCTTGGAGTCCCTTCCAACTGTACCATTCTATGTTTCTATACAATGCAGGTGGTTGGCACCTACAGAGAGAAGTCTTGTTATACATCTGGTAGAAGTTGTAGGACGGCTGCATACTTTATTATTGGGATTTGTGTGTTAAAACAGGAAATTGATATACATGGTAGTGTTTATGTAGTGTTCCATTTTTCTTTTCCCTATGAATGTCAATCTTTTCTTCCCTGCCTGTTCAGTATAGCTAGCAGATTGGAATGCTTTCAGATGTGGGCTTCTTTCACTCTAAAGTACACAGAGAAATGTGTGAAATGCTCAACCCTGGCATTCAAAACAGAGCAATCTAGAGTAGGGATGGGGAACCTATAGCTGTCCAGACATTGTGGGACTTTATCAGCCCCAGACAGTGATTAGGGATGATTGTAATTGTGGTCCAACAACATCCAGAGGGCTGCAGTTTCCCAATCTCTTATCTTGTGGTATAGCACGTAATGTAAATCAGACAATGCTAACTTTGTATTGTCCAGGTGTTTCGGACTACATCCACCATATAGCTGTATTGGCTGGGAATGATGGGAGTTGTAGTCCAAAATATCTGGAGAACACTAGGTTGGGGAAGGATGAGTTGCTGCCTTGCATTTGAAAGTGTATTTTAAGTGTAATGAAGCATCCTTGGTCATTTTACAGCAGTTCACCACATTGTTGTGGTGATTTGTATGCTCAGTCAGTTTCTGTTTGTTCCTACTTATTACTTTTTCTGCAGGGCGTATGCAAAATTCAGCTACGGTATATCTGATTACAGCAGGGAAGTGATTGGGGATGTTAGCACTGAAATGTTGGCTTAATACGGCTTATTTCTTTCTGTGCACATTTAAAAACTATTACCTCAATGTCAGCGAGACCACTTGTACTCTTTGTGCATCTATAAGAGTTAGAACATCTTGTTCAAATGTGAGTGATTAAAAGTTAAGCCACACCTTCAAATTCTTGACAGCATTCAAGAGAAACTAGCATCTTATTTCAATTTTTAATGGCTTGATTTGTGGAGTATTTTATGGAGCTACAAAATCAAGAGTGAATGGGTCCTTAATGTATCAAACTGGAATGTACACTGTGTGTCAAGGTCAGAATATTTGTCCATCTAGGCTACTTAGTTGGGTCGACTGGCAGCAGCTCTTTAGTCTCAGATAGAGGAGAGGCTTCCAGGCCGCATGCCCCCTGATTCTTTTAGCTATAGAGATGCTGGAGGTTGAACCTCACCTTCTCTTTCTTTTTTGTTAAACGCACAGTATGGTAAGACACCACTTGTTAAATTCTTATCTGTATTCATTCTGCCTTAATTTCTCAGAATGTGAGTCTGCTTTCAACTATGGACTGTTCTGTCCCCCCCCCCCCGCCCCACCAAATCACAGGATGCATGTGTTTGAGTAGAATACCTGTGCTCTAGGAGCAATAATTCCTGTGACTATTTTGCAGCAATAGTGAAACACGCTTTCAAGGGTAGAGGCGCAC